ACAAGTCTGAAACAAAAAAATATAAAAGCCTTGTCTCTTGGGTGTAAAAAGTTACGACCAAAGTGAAACTTTTGATAAGTAGGTCAAACTTCTAGATCAAGGTCATGGAGTCAAAATATTATATTATTAGTTTCATTAAGATGTTGTCACAGTATTGTACACAAAATATGAAAGCCCATTCAAAAGTCATTACCAATGTTAAATCTTTTGTTAAGTAGATTAAACTTCAAGGTCAACGTCAAGAGGTAAAAAATTATAGTGCATTTGGAAAGGTCTGGCTACATCTTTTCCCATTAAAAAGTTATGATATATGTTAAACTTTTTAAAAATAATTCAAACTTTAAAGTGAAGGCCAAAGGGTAAAAAATCATAGTATATTTTGGAAATGTCATGCCCGCATGTGTAATTTTTAAGCACCATCTTTTCTCATTCAAAAGTTATGACCAATTTTTGTGACAGAGGGACAGACAGACAATTGGAAAAGCGAGGTACAATATTGAGACGGATAAATATACGTTTCACAACTAATTTCTAATCCTTTTTGATTGTGTACTCTTTGCTAGAAGTTTTCGGATGAAATGTAGTTTACTAATAATTCTCAAAAAGACACCTTATTCATAATTAAATTATAAACATTTCCAGTATACCTTGCGAATCAAAATTTGACACAAATTGCCTTTGTCATTTTTATGCCCCCGTAGTCGAAGATTAGGGGGTATATAGTTTTTGCCCTGTCCGTCCATCTGTCTGTCCGCAAAAACTAACATTGCCCATAACTTTTGATTGGTTGGATCTATGGCTTTCATATTTCAAATGTGTATTCCTTGTGACAAGACCTTCCTTTGGGTAACAAAATATTTGACCTCTTGACCTTGACCTTGGAGTTTGCAAAAATTTACCCAACTTTAACCTTGGCCATACTTTTGAACAGTTGGTGCTAGGGCTTTTACATTTTGCATGTGTATTTCTTATGACAAGGTCTTCCCCTGTGTAGCATTAATTTTGACCCTTTGACCTTAACTTTGGAGTTTGACCCACTTTTAGAAAACTATAACCTTGACGATAACTTTTGAATGGTTGGTGCTTGGGCTTTCATATTTACCACGTATATCCATTGACACAAGTCCTTTCTTTGGGTAACAATTTTTTTTTCTCTTGACCTTGACCTTGCAGTTTGACTTGCATTTCAGAAACTTTAACCTTCGCCATAAGCTCCCATATGAGGGCATCAGTGTTTCACAAACACATCTTGTTTTTGAAGGAATAATATATAATCATTTATTCCGGCATATCAACAATGATGGATCCAGAATTTTGTTTGGAAGAGAGGGGCGAGATCCCTTAAAAACAATGGATGGATCTAGAATTCTGTTGGAAAGGGAGGGGCGAGACACCTTAAAACAATGAGACTAGGAAAGTTCTTAACGCGCCCTCCTCTTCCCTCTGGGTTCAGGTTTGAATTCGAGGAGGAAGAGGACTGTGGAGCACAAAATTAACATAAACTAAATTACTTAAATAACTGAACATACAAATAGCAATAATTAGTTGAAGAAATGATTAATTCCTTTATTGCGTGCAATAATTAAAAACTGTTGTATGTTTGGAATAAATTGAAAAAAAAATTATCAATTGTTTCGGGCATTAATTCAGTTGCTCTCATCGATTCAATTGATACATGTAGGTGCATCAATTCGTTTGATACGCGTGCATCAATAGAATTGTTGAGCTCAATAATGTATTGGCATAATAGCTCGCAAAATGTAATTTAGACCTCTGTAGAAATTATCTGTTGGTTTATTTATTTCAAATGAAATACTCCACAAATATATTTTCTCAGAGGAATTATTGCGCGCTTCAATTCTATTAAAGAGAGCGACACTTCAGATAAGGATATCCTTATTTAAATTATGGATATGTTCATTTGAATTTATCACTAATAACAAAATTTCTCTCCAAAAAGAATAGTTATAATTATTACTTTAATATTGATATCATCAATTCAATAAGGAAAAGAGCTAAAATTTAATTAATGTGCACGTTCATTCGGGATCGAAGATTAATTACTTGAAGATATGTTTAATTGAAATATGGCGCGCATAAATGAATAATATAAATTAATAAATAAATAATAAAATAATAATATAAATGTATTTATAAATTATAAATAAATTAAAGATATCTTCGATTGTTCAAGAAAGTGCAAGGATGTATGACAATCAAACACGAACGAAATTCGTAGATTTATAATTTTCAGACAGAATTTTTTTAACAGGTTTTAATAATATCTCGTCTGGAAACTTCTTGTAATATGCTAGTCATAAAATTCTACCGAAAATTTTGAAGATTATAAACTGCAAATCTGTGTTCATGCCCTTTTAATGGCAGACATGGATGATAAAGAATATCTTATCTGAATATTTAATGAAAAATATTGAATAAAAATGCATTACTATTTACTATATATTGCCTTTTTATTTTTTAGGACAAGAAAGTTGTCAAATTCGCATGTATTTGAGGTCCAGAGGCAGAGGAAGTTCCTCTTTTTTTTAAAGTAAAATCACCATAAAACGTTTGTTTTTAATTTTGTTTTTTTTTTAAATTTTTAATGGGCATTCTACCTCAATAAGTCATGGAAAAATAATTTATGAAAATAAGTCGAACAGCCATTAGGCCTTAAGGTATACATGTATATCCCCCCTCCCCCCCAAGCACATGTGGACAACACTTGCTAAGAGAGTTACTGCAACATATTGCTAATGTTGGCAACAGTGTGTGCTGTCGGTTCATAATGTTATCAAGCCACGATGACCCACTCGAGTGTGAACAGAGTAAGAAAAGAGGACCTTTTTCTATGAGATCATATGTCTACCCTGTTATTTCCCAGCATTATCATCTTCATCAGATTTATGGAGCCACCCTCTCTCTTTTTCTCTCCAAAAATGTAGGTTAAATCCTGCATCTGAAGCAAGTCCAGTAGCATGCATCCTTAGATGTTTCATCCATGCAAGTATGATCAATATAGGGCTTATAGTTAATTGGAAATGAGACTTGATCCAAAACTTGAACCTGCTCCAAAAACAACCTAGACATTCTTAAACTGAAATTGCAACATCTAAAACCTCAGCTGGTACAATGAAACATACTACAAGCATCATCCATGCAGCTCTGATTAATATAGGGAATAGATATATTTAAAAAGAAATTTATTTTAAGAACTTTAAGCTGGGATGCTGACGCCGAGGATATGACATAAGCCCCCCCCCCCCCCAACTTTGTTGAGGTGAGCCAAAAAGTGCACTGCAAAAGATTACAGATTTGCATACAAATAAAATTAAAAAACAGATTTCTCTGACCAAATGGTAATTCTACTGATTAACTCACCTGAGTCGAAGGTTCTTTCTTTTCAAGAACCAATGGCGAGAAAAGATGAAACTTATGTGAAAGCTTCATTATATACTCGACATTCAAATTTTTTTCTTATCATAACCAACGGGGGTAGGGCAGGGCCACAACAGTGGGTCAAAGTTTACCATAGGAATATATAGGAAATATCTTTAAAAATTCTTCTTCTCAAGAACAGCAAAGTCATTATTAGTCATTATCATACAGATGTATCCTCGGGTATTGTAGATTCAAGTTTGTTCAAATCATGACCCACGGGGTTGGGCGCAGACACAACGGGGGGGGGGGGGGCAAAGTTTTACATAGGAATATATAGGTGTAATGGTTAAGAGGCATTTACGTAAAACACATAGAAGACAACAAATAGTGGAATGACCTGACAATCCTTAAAATGGACTAGCCAAAGGGTATAAGGCAAAACTTCAGGAAAGTCAGGCATTCAGAAGCTAGCTGAAGAAGTTGGCTGTTGAATCAGCATTAAGGGTAAGAGCAAAATAAAAGTATAGGAGTTATATGCACCAGTGGCAAGTATTTTAGTGAATTGATGTTTAGTTCCAAATTACCTTACCCAGTCCCCATCTCTATATAAAAGAAAAAAATTAGTACTGTGTGATATACCCTCAGACAGAGCTGTCTTAATAATCATTCCAATCATTAACTCAGACAGAGTAAAAGGAAAACCTATATACCCCTTGTAATAAACTGATCATTCATCTTACATAAAAAATAACTTTAAAAATCTTCTTCTCAAGAACAACTAAGCCATTATTATCATATTTATATAGAAGCAACCTTAGGTATTTCAGAATCAAGTTTGTTGAAATTATGACCCCCAAGGGGTTTTGGGGCACAACAGAGGGTCAAAGCTTTACATAAGAATATATCGGAATAATCTTGAAAAAATCTTCTGCTCAAGAACAGCAAAGCCATGATTAGTGATATTATTATAAAAGCATCAACAGGTAGTGTAGATTCAAATTTGTTCAAATTTAGGGTGGGTAAGGTGGGGCCAGAATGAGCAATATGAGTTTTACATAAGAATACTTAGGGAAAAAAAATCTTTTAAATTCTTCTGTTTAAGAACACCAAAACCATGATTAGTAATATTGATATGGAAGCATCCTGAGTTAGTGTAAATTTAAGTTTTCCATAAGAATAGGAATCATCTTGAAAAATTCTTCTGCTCAAGAACAGCAAAGCCATGATTAGTATTATTGTAATGAAAGTGTCCTCTGGTCGTGTAGATTCAAATTTGTTCAAATTTAGGGTGGGTAGGGTGGGGCCACAATGAGCAAGCAGAGTTTTACACAGAATACATAGGAGGAAAAAATCTATAAAATTCTTCTTGCTAAAGAACAGTAAAGCCATGATTAGTAATATTGTTATGGAAGCATCCTGAGGTAGTGTAAAGTGTTAAGTCCCCCCCCCCCCCCCATAAACTTTTCAATACTGAACTGATTTCTGCTTTTTCCTAGCCAATGTACTCATGTGAGCAATGTGGCCCATGGGCCTCTTGTTTAGTTTTACAACAGTATGAAGATATAAGTGCTTATGACATTTTCCTCCTATACTTTCTATTAGATGAAATAACGTTTAAGTTTTGATAATTTTCTACAGTTTTATTTTTAAAGCATTCACTCCTCATCTACTGTGAATTTATTCTGTTGATAAATAAATATCACAATACAATTTAAATATCCCTTCTTATTAGAAAACAAGGGTCTCTACAGTATACAATGTACATATATAATATAAAAAGAAATATTCAAGCTTATATACTCAGAAGCATTATAACTTTTTAAATATAACATAATGATATAAATATATCATACACCTAAGTTTGTTATAAATGTAAACACCTTTACATGATACACTGTATATACAACACCTAAACATGCTGGTTATAATTAAGGAATAAAAAAAAAACACAATCACTAAAAAGATCAAATCCAAAAATAAAATGCAGAAAGAAGACCAAATGGCACATAGAAGGAATTGTAAGCATATTTGTGGAAAATATATTGTCAAAGAAAAATTATTCAAAATGTATTGTATTGTAAATGGTACAAAAGGTGTACTTAAGGGAAAAGATTTAACATCTATCTATTTACATTCTTATTACTGTTCATACATGTATCATGAAATGTTAGCCTAACAGAAACTACCTGGCTGCTCTAAAAATAATTAATACAGATATTTACATAGAAAAACTGTTATAGGATATTGCATCTTGGCTCTACTAATGGGTTTAAAAAAAGAATACACTAACTCTGTTGTAGCTTACTCTGAAATATATCTTAAAGAAACACACAACATTAATAGACCATGTTTAAGAAAGAACATTTCAAGACCACAAGCAAACACAGGACACAAGTAAAAATAAAAATTACCGATATGAACACCAAAAAGAAATTCACACCACAAATACCAGTACTCTTGACCTTGGCTAACTGAAACTGGTTTAAGGTCATGATCCTCTCTGGGTATAGGGACTTCTTGATCAAATATAAACTTATACAATTCCTGCTTTATGTTTGGGTCCAAACAAGAATTTATTATTTCTAAACCATGAAGCTTTGACTAAACATTTACATCAAGTATAAATCTAAGCATTAAAAATATGACTCAAACACAAAATTTATTTTACACTTCAGAACCCCTCAGCCCCATGATCTTAATCAAGTGTTTCTTTGCAATGTTCTTAACAAATCCTTTTGTCGTGAGCAACATTTATTTCAAATACAACATCTACAATACAAGGTTCACAAAGGTAGCGCAATACCAGGAATTTCACATCTCTGAACCATGTTAAAATGACCTATACTCAGGGATAGAAAACATCTGATCATAATCAATCCATTACATCAATTACACCCTGTTTTGTTCTTTTTTTTCCCTAAGTTACAGCTTGTACACTGAGACAGATGGACAAACACGCTGATACATGTATCTACCCTATGGATATGTCTCCAAATTTTTTTTTTTTTTTGCAAAGGGTATAAATTCACAAACACAGTTTTAGTTTATTCTGAAATTTCTCTTGAAGAAATAGACTACATTAATAGAGCACTTTTAAGAAAGAACATCTCAAGACCACTTAATTTAGAAAAAATATTTATAGCAGCGATTATTTCCTGTTTAGACATAAGTTTCCACTTATCTTAATAACTTATTGGTTATAATTCTTAAGATTAAGAAATTTAGAGAAGACTATGGAGTACCTTCTTAAATCTCAAAAATATTTTCTATAAAAATATCTGCGTAAAACAATGACTGATTGAAATATACGCTTGACCTAGTTTTCAGTTAGGAATGCTGTGTGCCTCTTAAATTTTTCCCCAACTAATATGAAAACCATGCCCAATGCAGCGATTCTTAAAATCTTACAGTTTTTGGGACATGATGAAAAGTAGAGGTTAATGCTTAATAAAAAATTTTCACACAACCTACGAGCTACAGATGATCTTAATCTGTAACAAGAAATATTAGTACATAATCACGACCACTTCCAAATACTAGTTTCAATTGTAGCCCAAAACATTTTTTTCTACATGCAAATCCATATGCTCATAAATCATACACACATTGTACATGAACTGAATTTACCTACTGACTAAAATACAGATAATTTGTGAAGAACCCTACCTAATATGATTAAACTGACATTAAATTTACCTGACTCTAGTATATATATATAAGTGATGAATGAAAAAAAACTCACAATTATTTTTTTAAAAAAATAATAAACACACAACTGAAATTGAAAAAAGAACAAAAATCACTATAACCTTATAGCTAAAGAAAACACTCCTTTGAGTTGAATCAGTTCTAGTTTTGGTCTTTCATATGGCTACATATGGTGTTCAATATACCCTGATTCATAAACCATGATTAGTAGTCACTGGAAGCATTACCAGTGCGGAGTACAAGTCCACTTTTCAAGTGAACCAAAAACTTAAACAAAACATTTGATTGCAGTTACACTAGGTTAGCATCCTTGGCCATTCCATAGAAAACTGTGGATTTGTTTTTCAGGAGATTTTCTGGACTGTCATACTCCTTGACTAGACCCTGGTCCAACACTAGAACCCTGTGAAGAAAATTTATATATCTATCATGTATGTACATACACATGTAACAAAATAAATTCAAGTACTAGTATTCTTCTGCATTAATCCTTCAATTCTGTATTTTTTTAGTTACACAAGTCATACACTCTAATGATATCAACTTAAAAACAAAAGGCCCTTGTGTGATGATAGTCACCCGAGAACTATGCAGCAACTTTTTTCTGACATACTCTCCGGACAAATACCACTTTTATGTCCTATACAAGTCAGTCATGCTTCTCAGTTTCAAACTAATGCCCCACACAACATTTTTAAACTTTCTCATAGTTACCTTAACCTTCATTCAGAGCCATGACCAGACATTATAATGTTGTTTCATTAATTCTTATGAGGATCAAATTTCATGGTTTGTTGATACCTAAATTCACAGACAGCTTATTCTATGATAAGTAAAATTTGCAGTTCATTGGTCATCTAGTTTCATGGTCTGGATCAACCACGATTAAAACAAAATTTGTGTTCAACAAAAAATAAAGAAACCACAGTAGTCAAGAATATCCTTTTTGGCAAAGTAAAAGTTTCTAGTGTATCACACAAAATTATGGCTTGAGAGGAATTTTGTTATGTCCTTAAGCTTGTCAAAATAACTTTGGGTCATAACTGTAACCTTCCCTTCAAAGGCAACATTTCATTATCACTCTAAAAATAAGTCATTTATAAATTGGAAGTTTGTCATAAATTACCAGAAGTCTCTGACAAGACAGTAGCTCTACTGGTATTTACTTTGTGTATCTTAATAAAGTCTACTTGTGTACCAAGTTTTATTGAAATCCAACTGAAACTGTAGAAAGAGTAACATTTTTAAAGAATTTCACAGAAATTCTAATTTTTAGAAACCTTGGCAACATTGTTTGGCCAAAAAAAAAAGGAAAAAAAAATTAATAAAAAGTCTAAATCTGGTGAAGGAGTAGGGTTTTTGGAAAAAAAAAATCACAGAAATTTAATATTTAGAAACAATGGCAACACATTTGTCAGAATCAAGAACCAGCAGAAAAATTTAGTATTATAGTATAGTGTGCTTATGCACTGGATCTTCTTGAAATTGAACTAAAACTGTACAAGGAGTAGAGTTTTGAGAGAATTTCAGAGAAATTCCTAATTTTGATGCCATGGCAACACCATATGATGAAATCAAAAACCAAAAGGCAGAATTACTTACCTTTGTATAGTGTACTTGTGTACAGAGTGTTATGGAAATTTGACCAAAACTGTAGGAGGAGTACATTTTGAACTTGATTTTAATCGACATGAATTTCAAAACTAGTTGGAGGAATCATGCCCAGTATACTTACATATACAAATTTTAAATTTGCTAGATGTCTGGGATTTAATGCATATTCATTATAGTGTATACATACTTGTCATAGTCCATGATGGTGTTGAGCCTGTGGGCAATGGTCAGCACAGTGCTGTCCTTGAACTCTGTCCTGATTGTTTTCTGAATGAGGTCATCTGTTTCCATGTCTACTGCTGCTGTGGCTTCATCAAGAATCAAAATTTTAGTTTTCCTCAGTAATGTTCTGGCTAGGCAGACAAGTTGTCTTTGGCCAACACTGCAGAAGAAAATTAATAAAAAAATGTCTTTGTAAATAAATCAATAAAAGATGCAAAGTACACGTGTACATGCTTACTCCTTGTGGCACAGATTACCATACACTACAGTACAGTATATACTGCACATGTATATCTATACTAACAGGTAATATTATATAAATCATAGTTATAATGGCGCTAGAAATAACCCATCCCAATTTGTTGTTATTAAAACCCAGTATTTAATACTTTTACACTCAAATTTATTTCTTGTGATGAAAGATTCAAATTACCCTTGACTTTTTTCTTTTCTTTTTTTCCTCAAGATAATTTTTCCCTTCTAGAATTAAGTTTTCCATTATCTCTATACTTTACATTCCAAACTGACCTTAAGTTTTGCCCTCCTTCACCACATTCATGCTGCAGTCCTTCTGGAAGGCCTTCTACATAGGATTTCAGGTGAGAGTGTTCCAGCGCATTCCAGATTTCTCTATCTGTGTACGCATCAAAGGGATCAATGTTCATACGTAAGGTTCCCGAAAATAATACTGGATCCTGTGAGAGATTTCCATACATACAGAAATCAAATCTTTCATGAATGACTAGAGAATCAATTACACTGAACTTTATTACCAAATTGTTATCATTTAAAATTGTCTGCTACATCACATAATAGCCTGATTGATTCACGGTATTATTGTGAGAAAAAGATCAAAATGAACAGAAAAATTTATACATATACTAGTATACAGATTATTCAACTTTGCTGCATCCAGTGGGTGTACACAAAAATGCTTCAGACGTACATATTTCCACGTGAGATTAATATATACTATGTACACAGTCACAAATTTTTTGAGGATATTTGTCAGTGTATTTAAAATGCATATAATATATATAATGCTAATTGAAGAAATCTGTGTAATTTTCTACCAACAGACTGAACAGAAATTGTGATTCTGCAGAATTGCAACCCCGTGGAAAAAAGTACATTTACAATAAATGTTACAGCTGCATTACTAATTATCCAGGTCCAATCAAGGGTGTACGGGATTTACCCCAGGTTTTATTCCATACACCCTGAGGCCAAAGGCCAAAGGGTGTATGGAATACAACCCGGGGTAAATTCCCGTACACCCTTGATTGGACCTGGACAACAAATTTATTTCCTATGTACCCAAATAAATTCTTTGTAATCAAGTCCAATCAACTGTGTTTCAAGCTAGCGATAAGATTTACTACGTCCTACAATGCATCGTGACGTCATGTTATTTGCTTTTTATCATAGAGAAACTATGCATTGTGACGTCACGTTTTTTTACCCCCGGCTCAAGTGGGGTGTACAGAAATTTACACCCGACTTTGTAACCAATCAAAGCTCATGTTACAAGCTATATAGGAAATAATATTATTTACACCTATGTAAAGTAAATATTCATTCCAAGAAGGGGAAAAAACATACTTAAAAACGAAACAGGTTTGCAACTACAAATGACATATCATAGGAAAAGATTTCCAAAAAGTCCTTTTGTTTGTCTATTATCATATTATTACTCCCTCACAGAATTACCTGAAAAAAAGTAAAGCTTAAAGGGTTATAGAACTAACTTGAATGAATGTTTTACCTGAGGAAGAATAGTGAGCTTGCTCCTGAGATCATGAAGACCCATGTCAGAAATCCTCTGACCATCTATCACAATTTGACCTCCAGCAGATTCAATCAAGCGGAACAAGGCAACAGTCAGAGAGGATTTACCTGCCCCTGTTCTGCCAACTATGCCAACCTATAAGTAAAACATCCAATTAAAAAACTCAAAGATCAAAATACCAAATTTTGATAGATCAAAAAGTGGCAAAATAGTAACATGTTTACATAACATATATAAATTAATTTTATACAGTATGTACATTATCCGTATCTATACTATTCATTTCATGCTGCATTTCAATTATCCGTATCTATACTATTCATTTCATGCTGCATTTCAATTACGCTAGACACAGATACTTTATAATTGTATTTGATATGTAAAATATCTTACCTTTTGGCCACCCTGCACTTGGAAGGATATTCCTCTGAGAACAAGGTCTAAACCTTCCCTATATCTGGTCTTATAATCATGGAAGATAACCCCGCCATTAGTGGGCCAATCATGGGGAGGTCTTCTGAATGGACGGATCCAATCAGCCTATAGCGTGAAATGAAATTTCTAGGATTTTTTTTCAAATCGAGTACATGCATGAACACATTTTGTTAAAGTTTTTCTTTAAACCATTGTAAAAATATTTATATGAAAGGAAAAAGAATTTATTCATGGGAGATTATACAAACCTCTGTTTCTACTTCTGAGTACTCCTTAAGTCTTTCCACCGAGACAACATTTGTTTCTAGTTCAGCTGTCTGTCGAACCAACATGTTGAGGGCACTTGTCACCTACAAAATATAATTCATTGGTGTTAGATTTATTTTTTACTTTTTTCCCCATTTTCAAGACAGAACATGTATTTGTTTTTCAATAAAGGTGAAGGAGCAGTTCTGGATTAACATATTTTAGGCCCAATCATAGTTCATCAACCCTCTTCTAAGAGAGATAACTCCAACTAGAATAATTGTTTATAATACATTTATTAAATTGTCAAATTAAAGGTCATTTCTGACAAATTTTGCACCACAAGGTATCCTTAAATTGATTGCCATTTTAATTATTTATTAGATTTCTTTTGGAAAATCATAAGCATTAAGGCAAAATTTTATAAGAGCAATCAGTGGAATAATGAACCTCAACAATATAAAAAGATTTCCTTTCCAATCTTTCATAATGATTGCTAATCTATAAGCAGTAAAACTATACCTGCAGAGCATAAGATACAGAGAGACCCACTAAACCTCCACTTAGATTTGGCGTGACAACAGCAAAAATGGCTGCCGCAAACACAATAAGATTACCAGCTAACTCCAGTCTCCAGCCAAGCCATCTATATAATATACAAAAGTACATTTATCTTTTATTCATTTATTTATTTTTTATTTTGCATCAAATTCACAAGCAAATCTAAGATAAATAGATATTCTTAGAGCCATATTTAATACAAGAGGCCAATGCTCACCTGAGTAACTTTGGCCTTGCTGTTTTTCACCTGATTTCCCCCCTTGTGGTACTTACTGTGGCCCTGCCCTACCCCCAGGGGTCATGATTTGAACAATTTAGAATATGCACTACCCTAGGATGCTTCCACTTAAGTTTCAGCTTTTCTGGCCCAGTGGTTCTTGAGAACAAAAATTTTAAGGATTTTTTCTACATATTTCAACGCAAAACTTGGGATTCCCTATTGTGGCCCCGCCCTATCCCCGGGGGTCATGATTTGTATAATTTAGAATCTACACTACCCCAGCATGCTTCCACATAAGTTTCAGCTTTTCTGGCCCAGTGGTTCTTGAGAAGAAGATTTTTTAATGACCCGACCCTAGTTTTGTCTTTTCTTGACTATCTCCCGTTGGAAAGGGGAATTGGCCCTTCATTTTAACAAGTTATACTCCCCTTCACCCAAGTATGCTTTGTACCAAGTTTTAAAATTTGCCCAGTGGTTCTTGAGAAGAAGTTGAAAATGTGAAAAGTTTACAGACGGACGGACAGATGGACGACGGACAACGGGTGATCAGAAAAGCTCACTTGAGTTTTCAGCTCAGGTGAGCTAAAAATGTTTGTTTGCCCTTTCCTGACCAACTAAAATCGGACCGACTCCAAACTTTTTTTGCTTTAGGAAATAATTTTTTTTTATTCATTCTGAAGATTTCTTATCCCATTAAGAACTATCTTAGCTTCATATTCGCAAGTGTTTTTAAGTAAAAAAAAATTTTCCCTACCAATCTACCCAATTTCTTTATCCTTTAATCGGGAGAGGGCAAGCAAACATTGTTTAAAAGAAGGCCTGTTAAAGATTTTTATTAATAAATGTGAATTTTACATTTATTATAAATGTTAAATTCACATGTGGAATGGTATTATCTAGTATATGCAGGTACTCTCATAATGTTGGTATCAATAACTGTCAATTTCATGGGCAGGGTACATTTACCGGTTTGATGACGCCCTGGCAAAGGTATACAGTATGTTTTTATCCACTCTTGAAAGGGACTCGTTTATAAATCTGTCTTCTTCATGGTATGCTCTGATAGAAGAGGCTCCATTTAGAGACTCCCCAAAATGATTGAATATAGGTGAGCGTGTGGTGGACTCTATTCTTTGAAGTTGTCTTGAAGTAGGCACATAAAATCTCTGTGAAATAAATATCATATATCTCATTATTATTCAAAGGTTAACTTAGAAACATGGATATGTTTGTAGTTATACTTGTATTTAATATATGCTTTAATATTAACTCTGCTGTGTCATCAATTTTATGAAAATGAACCGTTTAATACATATAATTCATTTTTCCTTTTTACTGAGTGAAAAATTCCCCAACACCCTTAAAACAATCAAACAGTAGTATTTTGATTGTGTTTTACCATTATGCAGTGAACATTTACATGTACATTTGCTGTAATTAATAGCACAATGTTTACAAGGCAACTTATACATGTACATTACAACACACTTATAATGAAGTGATAGGGATGAACGATTTTGCTTATTATAAACATAATTTATTATATCCATTAACAATATATTTTAAAGCCATGGGGAATGAAAATCACTTTCCTGTAAGTGTCAATTCATTATAAGCTTGTTCGTTATAAGCATGTTTTACCGTAGTAGTTTTGTATTTCTTGTATGATTGAACGTGGAATTTGGTTAAGAATGAGTCAATTAATGTAGTGTAAAACATAATGTCACACAAAGACAATTTTTAATTTCTCCATAAAGAGTAGTTTGCCCCCAAAACCTAGATTAATTTATAGTAACATGCATAACATTTTAAATAAGTTACAAAAATATCTACTACATTACCTGCACCAATACATAAAAAATCAGCACAGGAACAATGATGGTTATAAACAGGGGTGTACTGTAACTGATCACAACAAAAGTACTAATGGTGCCGAAAAACATATTGAGCCACATCCTCAGAACCATAGGAAGGGTTGTATCTGTAGTCTCCACGTCACGAGAGAATCTGTTCACTATACGACCAATGGGGGTAGTGTCAAAGAAACTCATAGGTGCTTTCATGACATTGTCCAACATGGCATTGTGAAGTTTACGAGAAGCATCAGCCATTTTGTACGTTGCCAGGAGAGTGTAAATCATGACCACCAGTCCTAAACATTAGGGAAATTAAAGAATTGCAGTTAAAAAATTAGCAGAAAAAAATTTAATGAAATTCAATAAAATAAATTAAACAAGGTTCCATGCTCATACTGCATCTGGGTTGCATGAGCTAAAAATATAGTAATTGGTTGCCTTTACCACTTTTTCAAGCTGAAATAAAATATTGTTTTCTCTTCTACTTTTTTGTCATTTCAAAAGAATTATTAAAATTATCATGTTCATAATCTTTATTCACTTGCAAAAGGCAAATGCTTCAGCAAAAATTTTAAAAAGCTTCCTTTGCCTATGTACACACCTTGAACAACACCAAAAGCTGCGTAACCCCCAAGATACATGTAATTTCTGTCCTGGTATTCTGTAGTGTTGGCTTGACTAATGTTAGCCAGTTGCTTGTCTGTCGTCCATATAGAGAGCCAAATATTGGCTCCGACACTGGCGCCTTGAAAGACAATGAAGATGGTCAGGATAATCACAGAGGCCGTCAGTCCAATCGCTCTGAAGTACATCATGAATACTTTCCATTTCACCTAAAAAAAATTGAAATAACATACCATAAACATTGTACATGTATGAACAAGTATCTACATTTATTATTTATTTATTGGCTTTAAGTTGGAAATGGGCCAGTTATGCAAAAACTTTAACATGTCACACACATAAAAAAAAAATATAGATCATATGCAGGATAGAATAAATGTCTGGTAGCATGCTCTCAAGATGGATTTTCCAAGCAAGTTTTCATCTACATGTAGGTGTCTTGCAGGTTCACAGGAAGGACCTACACCCACAAGTTAAACTTTCTACTTACACAGAAAGCTCATAAATATGTGCTGCTAATTAACCAGAACTCTCAGTATACATGTTCTAATACATCACTGAACAAATGCATTAACCCAAATACGCTCCCCTTAAATAAAGCACTGCAAAAGAGACAAATCAGTGCATTCTATCAAGATAATAGAAATGGTCAAATCTGCTTTGTAATGGAAATAACTTACTGTGCATTTTTAATGGAAGTAACTTTAATATTCACCTGGGCATTTTTCAGTGGAGGTTATTTATTGTGCTTTTTTCAGTGGAGATTACTTACTGTGCCTTTTTCAGTGGAGATTACTTACTGTGACTTTTCTGATGAAGGCTATTTCATGTGGCTTCTTCAGTGGAGGTTACTTACTGTGCCTTTTTTCAGTGGAGATTACTTACTGTGCCTTTTTTCAGTTGAGGTCACTTACTGTGCCTTTTTTCAGTGGAGGTTACTTACTGTGCCTTTTTTCAGTGGAGGTTACTTGTTGCACCTTTTTTCAGTGGAGGTTACGTACTGTGCCTTTTTTTAGTGGAGGTTACTTACTGTGCTTTTTTTTAGTGGAGGTTACCTACTGTGCCTTTTTTTAGTGGAGGTTACTTACTGTGCCTTTTTTTAGTGGAGGTTACTTACTGTGCCTTTTTTCAGTGGAGATTACTTACTGTGCCTTTTTTCAGTTGAGGTCACTTACTGTGCCTTTTTTCAGTGGAGGTTACTTACTGTGCCTTTTTTCAGTGGAGGTTACTTGTTGCACCTTTTTTCAGTGGAGGTTACGTACTGTGCCTTTTTTCAGTGGAGGTTACTTACTGTGCCTTTTTTTAGTGGAGGTTACTTACTGTGCCTTTTTCTGCCTTTTCCTCCTGTATAAGCTTATCCTTTTCTTTAATTTTAGGAGCATCACCTTTGGTTTTTCCATCTTTCTTATCTTTTAGTTCGGAACCATCAATTGTGGAGATAGATCTTGCTAATGGAGGTTTCTCACTTTTGTCTTTCCTTGAAAAATAACAAAGGCATAAGTTATCATATGCCTTACATTTTAAAAGAATTTTTTTGGAACTGTTTTTATTTGAACATAGTACTTTGTGTACTGCTACCTAAACATAAAGTATCATGCTTTAGTAAAATAATGTAAATGTATACTGAACAATAAATATGAAGAACTATGCAGATTCCATACCTTTTTCTGACTTTTCCATCATCCCCTGATGTAGCCCCAGTGTCCGAGGTGACAGACTCAACTCTCTGTAGAATTTTACTTTTCATCTGTTCAACTGGTAAAAGAAAAAGTATTTTTAAATGATAAAATATCCTGTATGTCATAAAAGAACCACCCCCTGCAGGGGGCAAAGCATGCATCTCATAAAGTTTTCTCAGCTGGACACATCTTCCACTTTCGTTTTGGATATCCCTTGAAATAAGCTGGAAATGAGCTAAAAACTTAACATCTACATCCATAAAGATGAATGAACAGACAGTTGAGAAATGTATACCCTAATACAACTTTGTATTAAGCATTCAGCTGCCCACAAACGATCAATATCTGCTTAAATGATAGTTTACATATGTATATTTACTTTCTTCATCTTCTTCCTCATTATCATTTTCCTGAGTCAGGTAGGTCTTCAAGAACTGAGCAAAGGCTCCATCATGACTCAGCAATTCATCGTAAGTTCCCATCTCTGAGATTCTTCCATCCATCAACACAATGATGGAGTCTACCATAGGCAGCCAGTGGATTCCGTGTGTCACCATAATCCTGGTCTGAAACCAAGGAAATGTTAAAAATAAATCACAAAACCAACCATCATATTATAAACATGTATTCTTCAGCTAACTTTAAACTGCAAATGACTGAAGCTCTGTCACATTTTCTCCTCCATAGACAAATTAACTATTCCTATTGCCTTATTCTTTTAACCCACAAATTGCACATTATGTTAAGAATCTTTACTAGTCTGGTTGCAAATTCTAGGAACAGAGTACTCACTTAATTGAAAACTATAAAAAAGAAAAAAAACAATACAAAACGTTATGCTAAGGCAATTTTTTGATCCATTCATGAATTAGCAATGAGTTTTTATGAAATATTTATTAATAAATAGGTCCAAATAATGGGTATTTATCTGTGGTTATCCAATTTTTGCAGATGGGACAAAATCACAAAAATTGCAATTGCAAAATTTTCTATAGATATTAATTCATGTATAATGTAAATGCAGGTCTTTTTTCTCATACATCATCAGTGGAGTGACATCAAGGAAGTTTTTAGCCTGGTTAAATGTTATCCCTAGTAACTGTATAATTATTTTTTAACAAGAGGCCCAAGGGCCACATCGCTCACCTGAGCACTGTGGCTAGGAAAAAAGGAAAAATCAGTTTAGTATTGAAAAGCTTAAATGCATAAGTGGTCCTTACCTATCCCTAAAAATGAGGGGGGGGGGGGGGGGGGGGGGGGGGCATGATTTGAACAAACTTGAATCTACACTAACTAAGAATGCTTACATAATTTTTTGACTAACTGTGACTTTTTTCTCTACAAGTTTGAACTTTCATTGTGGCCCCACCCTACCCCTGGAGGTCATGATTTGAACAAACTTGAATCTACACTATCTGAGGATGCTTCTGTATAAATATGACAAACCGTGGCTTTGCTGTTCTTGAGAAGATTTTTAAAGATTTTTCCTATGTACACCTATCTTACACTTTGATCGTCCATTGTGGCCCCACCCTACCCCTGGGGGTCATGATTTGAACAAACTTGAATCTACACCACTGGAGGATGCTTCCATATAAATATGACTAATCATAGCTTTGCTGTTCTTGAGAAGAAGATTTTTGAAGATTTTTCCTATATATTCCTATGTAAAACTTTGATCGTCCATTGTGGCCCCACCCTACCCCCAGGGGTCATGATTTGAACAAACTTGAATCTACACCACCTGAGCATGCTTCCACATAAATATGACCAATCATGGCTTTGCTGTTCTTGAGAAGAAGATTTTTGAAGATTTTTCCTATATAGTCCTATGTTAAAATTTCATTGTCCATTGTGGCCCCACCCTACCCCCGGGAGTCATGATATGAACAAACTTGAACCCACACCACCTGAGGATGCTTCCACATAAATATTACCAATCACTGCTTTGCTCTTCTTGAGAAGATTTTTGAAGATTTTTCCTATATACACCTATGAAAAACTTTGATCGTCCATTGTGGCCCCACCCTACCCCCGGGAATCATGATCTGAACAAACTTGAACCCACACCACCTGAGGATCCTTCCACATAAATATTATTAATCACTGCTTTGCTGTTCTTGAGAAAAAGATTTTTGAAGATTCAATTTCCTATATACACCTGTGTAAAACTTTGATCGTCCATTGTGGCCCCACCCTACCCCCGGGGGTCTTGATTTGAACAAACTTGAATCTACACCACCTGAGGATGCTTCCATATAAATATGACCAATCATAGCTTTGCTGTTCTAAAGAAGAAGATTTTTAAAGATTTTTCCTATATATTCCTATGTAAAACTTTGATCATCTATTGAGGCCCCACCCTACCCCCGGGGGTCATGATTTGACCAAATTTGAATCTACACTACCTGACAATAATTCCACATGAGTTTCATCTTTCCTGGCCCATTGGTTCTTGAGAAGAAGATTTTTCAATAATGCCATTAATTTTTTGCTATTTCGTAATTATCTCCCCTTGGAGGAGGGCGTGGCCCTTCATTTGAACAAACTTGAATCCCCTTCACCCAAGGATACTTTGTGCCAAGTTTGATTGAAATTGGCCCAGTAGTTCTGGAGAAGAAGATGAAAATGTGAAAAGTTTACGACAACAACGACGCCGACATACAACAGATAAATTTTGATCAGAAAAGCTCACTTGAGCCTTTGGCTCAGGTGAGCTAAAAATGTTTCTTGGTTATGAAATAAATGATATTGAACACTGACTTAAAGATAGTAGAGCAAGAGAGCTTATTTTTAGTTGTGATTTAACCAGAACACGGTCGACATATCAGTCTTACATTAAAATAACTTAACGTTGCAGTGTCCTACAAAATCCTTAATAACTGGTAGTCAAATCCCGTAAATGAATTTTTTGCGGATTGTTGCATATGCAGAAATTAATTTGCTACCTTTAAGAGGTCAAATAACAAAAAATTCCATCCACAAGAAAAGACTGTATTATTCCAGCCATAATATAATGCTTGTAGATTATTTATTATAATGAAATAAAAGACCATATAAATAAATACCTTGTTGCGTAGCAATCCTTTGTCTCCTACCACTTTTTGGAAGATGTGTTTTCCCACATGAGAATCCACAGCACTCAGTGGGTCATCAAGCATGTAGATATCAGCGTTGTAATAGACAGCTCGGGCCAAACTCACTCTCTGTTTCTGTCCTCCACTTAAGTTTATACCCTGAAGGACAATCAGTTAGCCATCCACAATTAAATTCTTTGTTTCAAATTTTTTGAAACATTAGTTTTCAATAAAATCTGGATCACTGTGATGCAAAGAAAGCTTGTATATCAAGCAGACTAAAACTCAAACATGTTTTTCTGATGCATTTATTTTTTCTTTGTACGAAAAAGATGTAGGATTATCTCTACAGAACACATCTGCTTGGAGTATATAAAATTTATTCTGAGATTCAATCTTAATAAATTTCTTTTACAACACAATTTTACACAAACCTTTTCTCCAATTTCTGTCATATCTCCTCCAGTCAGGATTTCCAGATCTGTTCTGAGGGCACAAGCATCCAGCACTTCATTGTATTTGCCATCTTCCATAGGTTTACCAAACAGGATGTTGTCTCTGACAGTTGCATTCTGGATCCATGCTTGCTGTGGAACATATGCCACACTACCCTGTAAAGCAAACAGAGAAGAAACCAGTCCTAAATGCAGGCAATCTTAAAGAATTTACTATTTTTTTTACAGCAGAAACTATTAGTATATGATAGGACTTTACTATACACTAGAATCTTTTTTTATCTTATAAATGAGATAAGAAGACTCACAAAGCCACTGACACATAACTGAGATAAGACTTACAAAAACATTGACACTCCCTGAAATTTTTTCCATTTCTCCCAGTAGGGCTGAAAGGAGTGAGGACTTCCCTGATCCCACCTGTCCTACCACTGCCACAAGCTTTCCAGGGGGGATCTTAAAGTCTATACTATAAGTAGAATTCAAATTCAAATTTACAGCCTGTATTTTTAACAACAAACTTATTTTATTGCTACCTTTTGCTCACCTGAGCCAAAGGCTCAAGTGAGCTTTTCTGATCAAAATTTGTCTGTTATCTGTCATTGTCATTGTTGTCATTGTGGTCGACGTCAGCGTCGTCATAAACTTTTTGCAATTTCATTTTCTTCTCCAGAACCTCTGGGCCAATTTCAACCAAATTTGGCCCAGAGTATCTTTGGGTACAGGGAATTCAAATATGTTCAAATGAAGGGCCACACTCTCTTCCAAGGGGAGATAATTAGAAGTAGTAAAAATTGAGTGAGGTCATTCAAAAATCTTCTTCTCAAGAACCACTGTGCCAGAAAAGATGAAACTAATATGAAAGCTTCTTGACATAGTGTAGATTCAAATTTGTTTAAATCATGACCTACGGGGGTTGGGTGGAGCCACAATGGGTGAAAAAAGTTTTACATGGGCATAAATGGGAAAAATCTTTAAAAATCTTCTTCTTAAGAACAGCAAAGCTATGACCAGTCTTTTTTATATGGAAGCATACTCAGGTAGTGAAGATTCAAGTTTGTTCATTTCATGACCCCTCGAGGTAGGGTGGGGCCACAATGGGCTATCAAAGTTTTACATAGGAATACATAAGAAAAATCTTTTTCCTGGAACAGCAAAGTCATGATTAGCCATATATATATATGGGAGCATCCTCAGGTAGTGTAGATTCAAGTTTCTTCAAATCATGACACCCCTGGGTAGTTGGGGCTGCAATTGGCAATCAAAAATTTACATATGAATGTATAGGAAGAAAAATCTGCTGATGAAGAACAAGAGAGACCATATTTACTCAGGTGAGAGTTGTGGCCCATAGGCCTCTTTTTTTTTACACCACCCTCTAGGAACATACAATCACTTGGAAGACTATAATGTTAATATATACATTATCTTTATTCTAAAACCTACATCAATGTATGATCAAATGATTAAGTGATCAGTGCACAATAATTACTTTGATAAAAGCATTCTGAATTCTGTTTTTCCTCTTTTTTTAAAAATAATTCCAATCTTTCCCTTACTCTCTCAGAGCTGGTTGTAATTGAGGATCCCAGCTAAACGTGCCATTTTCCACAGACACCACTGAATCTGGAAAACAGTTACTCGTGGATTAATCTACAAGTCTGAAGAATTTCAGGATATTCTCCATTATTTAAGTTACATGAGCACTATGTTATCAAATCTTTAATACCAATACCTGATTTTGGTTCATGCTGTACTGCATTTGGATCTAAATCTTCATTTTTCAAAAACTTGGATATTCTTCCAATGGAGACATTTGCCTACAGAAAAAAATTTATGAAATAAAACATTTTTTTTTCAATATTGCAAGACAGTAATATGGAAGAAATACATGTGCAGTCAAATTTTGTTTAGATGAGATATCTGATTGCTAAGTATTGCTTTTGAAATATCAAGTTTGAGATTTTGGTTAATATTAAATATAAAGAAAAAGTGGTGGGACTTCCAACTCACTGCAACATATCCATGGTATTCAAGATATCAATGTCTGAGACATTAAAGTTTAACTGTATTTACAATGACTAGTTACATGTACATGTATGTTGTATCTTAATATGAGAATGAATTTTAAAGTTTCTAATAGAATGTAAATGTCCAAACGTAAGAAAACTTTCATTTACTAGGCTTACCTGAATGACATACGAGATCATCATAGGTAACAGATTGATAGGAAACCGTAAAATGTTGAACAGAGACAGTGAAGTGAAGGCTTTCTGGGCACTCAAGTAACCTGTATCAGATGTCAACACATAGGTCAGAAAGGTCACTAAGGTCACCTGAATAAAACATAGCAAAGGTCAGAAAGGTTAACAAAGTCAAATGAATAAAATGTAACATAAGTTAAAAAGGTTGCTAGGGTCAACCGAAAAAAAAAATAATCACTTGATATTACATATAACTGAGGTGATATTTTATGTCTTTTGGCATCTTTACTTAGTTTGCATTTATTAAATGAAGAAAGGATAATATACTTATGGTTCATTTCATTTACTTTCTGATATACCAAAAAATATGATTCAATATTAGATGAGGTGATGATAATTTTAAAATGTATTGAGAAAATATTCAAACATGTTTATGTTTTGGTGATATTAAGCAAAAAAAAAAAATCTATTAAGGTGCAATGCCCCTCAGCAGAATACATAATAAAATGCAATTTTGCTCTGAACATGATTATGTGTATTTTCTCACTGAAAGGCTAATTAACATATAATATCATTCCTGTCAAGACATAAGGGGAATTACTTGTAATAAAGTACACTCGAACTCACTTACATTGAACTCTCTTTATTTTAAAAATCGGTTACTTTGAAATGAAGTTGGTTTCCCCTGAAAAACTGGCAGAGTTTCTATGTAATCAATACTCGTTTAGATTGAAATCGGTTAAATTGCAAAACTCAGTTATTTTCAAGTGATTTTGAGGTCTGCTGAACACAAAGCTTTTTGTTTTGATAACGTTACATTGAAGTTGCCAATTGCAATGCATGGACACAGGTGACTGATTATATACAAAGTCTAGCACGGGTAAATTTTTCACACATGTAATTTGATGTCGGCGGACTTGTAAAAATTTAATCATGTTTTGTTTAAATAAACAATTCAGCATTTCTCAATTGTAAATTGGTGTTCGGAGAAGGTGCAGGAGCAGATAAATTCAATGTAAGTTATAGGAAAATAAACTTCTTGATTTGAATCAAAGTATACGATGCATATGTTTTCAATGCAATGAGACGGGTTGTTCTATAGAATTGAACCTGACAAATCATTGTATCTACACGACAATGTTCAAGGCAAACTTTTTTTTGCATGTAAATAGTCCTGATAGTTTTCCAACACGAATCAACCAGAACATTTAAAAATTAAGGACAGTTCTTTGAAAAATAGAGATACATGTGCATAGTTATGTTTCTAAAACACTGCACGTAATGTTATGTAAAAAATAATAATTCCTGCACATATTTTTTTACCGTATCTTCATTTTCTATGTAACCCATGGCACATGGATATAATGAAATTCGGTTAAATTAAAATAAATCTCAAGGTCCCTTAAATTTCAATGTAAACAAGTTTGACTGTATAAACTATAACTTGTATCAGTTCACAAAACACTGGGTCATTTACCAGAAATGGTGCAGTTGTGAAGGAGAAAGAGCTGAAAGCACTGTACATGGCATTCTTCTTTAAAATTCTTGTTTCATTGTCCCTGATCTCTGCAATCTTCTTTTGAAAAGAAGGCTCCCAAGCATACAATTTTAAGACCTGTACAGGTAAATTAAAGCCAATTATTTACAATTCATCAAAAAAGTTTGATAATTGTCGAATGATAGTTTGACCAAATTAATGTACATGTAAAATCAGGATCACACTTTAAAATACAGTAACTTCTGCATATCTAATATGTATTCAGATTTGTGCTGATGTCTGGAAAAATATATAAATTTTGGTTTACTGTAAGTAAAATGAAATTGAAAGTAGAAATCATAAAATAAATATTACTTACTTTCATTCCATTTAACACCTCAGACATGAGTTTCAATCGTTTGTCTTTAAACTTCATCAAGTCGATCTGTAATTTCCTTTGTTTCATTGAAATAACAGCATTAACAGGGATCAGTAGAAGCATTAATCCTAACCCTGAAACACAAGAGACATTGACTGCTAAATATCAGAATCCTAACCCTGAAACACAAGACACATTGACTGCTAAATATCAGAACCTTTACAGTGAGTTTTTAAAACTCTTTTCCAGCAAAAAAAAGTGTGTTTTTATTCTTCCAATGGTGCTTTTTTTCTTTAATATTCAAATAATAATATTCAATACATTTTCAACAGTGAAATACAGTCAAACCTTGTTATCTCAAACCCAATGGGACCGATAAAAAGTTCGAGATATCCAAGGAATCAAGATATTGAGAATAACAATAAGTGTTTGGAACTTCCAAATCACTTGACATATCCGTGGTATTCGAGATATCAGTGTTCGAGATACCGAAGCTCATCTGTACTGTAATTAATTTATCTGTGGTATAAAATTGATATTTTTATAGGTGTTAATTTTTTACACTGAAATTTACAACTGGAACGACTTCTGCTATTTCTTTCATTTGAAAGTTAACTGTTATGTTGGATACAGAATTCATTTCACTTGTGAGACAGAATTTTTTTGGTACATGTATTTTCACTTGTGCTTTGTACTCGTCAAAATAAAACAAAAACACCCTGTACTTTGAAATAAAATCCATCTCAACTAAAATCACTGAATATCCTCTGTACATCTATTTCTTTATATACATAAGCATTTGTCAGTGTTTAACCTGAATTTCCATCTCATACTTTTCATACTTTTTTTTCCAGATGTAACATAGCTCACAGTTAAAAGTCTGTAAATATTGACTACTCTTTACCTGCAAGGACAGATGGACCCAGTTGCATCCACAATAAATACATAGCCAGTGTGATCTGCACCGGTGCCGACCAGATCATCCAGAGGTATCCACTGAGGTCCTGCATCCGCTGACAATCCACCGACATCAAGTTCACGATTTCTCCTACTGTAGACGACTTCCTTCCTTCATTGTTCATTGTTAAAGACTGAAATCAAACAACATGGAAAATTTCCATTAAACTACATTGTATTCAATGGATTTTAAGCAGATATTTGCTTACCTGGTTCATTACCAACTGAATTGAAAAAAAATATAGTTAAAAACTAGGGATGGCAATCGATTACAGAATTGCTAATCGGTTAACCGCAAGACGTTCCGACCGATTAACCGGTTAATCGTATCAAAATGCACGTTTTCTTGACAATTGTTTTTCAAGTAGCTCTGTCCATATACACAAATAGACCCAAATAAGACGATAGAAGTTAAAACATTCCATTAGTCTTGATTCTGGATCAGAAAAATATGGGTACATATTGTTTATTTTAATTTCAGTAGACAATAAAAAATTGAGAAAACAATGAAAAAAGCAAATCTTTGATAATTTTCCAGAGCAGATGACACAAAAGTTCTTTCTGCATTTTCACTATGATAATCAAAACTACATGTGAACTCTGTTGCCGTTAATTTACAATATTTGTTTAATAATTACATGTAAATTGGATTGAAAACTGAAAATGACAAACACATTAATTCACAGTGCTCAATGATTCAATTATTATCATTAAAGAAATACAGGACAGTCGGGGTAATGACATGCTGTTTTCACAGTGATTAACGCTAATAAACTGACCAATTATGCTAAGGTCTCAATCTGGAGATTCATAATTACATGTACGTCCAAATTAGATCCTTGAAATCCTAAAGGATCATCCTTTGTGCAGAGATTTCTTCTTTTTTTTTAAATTTTAAAAAATGTGTTCAATTTAACAAATATTTTATTTTTTCCGATTAACCGATTACAGATTTTCTAATTGATTGCCATCGTTCCGACCGAGTAATCGGTTAACCGGTTACAAATTGCCATCCCTATTAAAAACAAAAATGCAATACTTTATTTAACGCAGTGATTTATTGCACACCTACTTATTGTAAATCACTTTTCTCTATTCGTGAGAACTTTATTTTCATGTATGAATTTAGCAAAACAGTCTGCTCCCAGTACTTTTATTCTCACATATATATTTGTAAATGTATCATCACAAATAATATACATGTACGTCAATGACCAAAATCCAGGCAAAATTTATGAAAAAAATTTCTAGCTTACTATCTCATGAAAATAAGGCGTCACAAAAATTGGTTGACTTGCAGTATTTTTTAAGGTATAAAATTGTGCAAAAAACTCGCTATACTATACAAGAAAATGCCAAAGACTGTGAATGGATAAAGAGTTACACTGTACACACATTGGTTGTTCTTTACCTTTTTATAGATGGCTGCAATAAGAGCTGATCGAATCCTCATTCCCAGCGTCATTCCAATAAAGAAGTTCTGATGAAAAAATGTGGACTGCAAGAGTGCTATGACAAAGAATCCCACAGCATATACATAGCCTTTCCATGCATACTCATTGGAGCCCTGGGCATTTTTGCTCTCCACATATCCAATCAGGACACTGACACACACATGTGAAATTATTAAATGTCAAATTTATACAAATTTAATCCCTTTCTGAAGATTATAATATTATTTCAATGCAAATATTCAGTATTCCAAATTTCAACAGAAATTCATAAGCTTTACTGAATTTTTGTTACTGCCATGAATACCTTAATGTATATTAGAATAAACTTCACTAGCATTGTACACATATACATGTATATAAATGACAAATTCTTTACTTTATGACTCAAATTACCTTAACAGAGAAGGACTAGCCATTTGTAACAAATCATAAATGAACTTGCAGCCCCATGCTTTAAGGAAGTCTGGTCCATAAGTTCTAGCTAGTACTCTAAATAGAGAGGCTCCTTCCTGCTTCTTCTTGCTGGGGTCCTTTATTTCCACAGTTGTAGAATAGGTGTGCCCCGAGTTCCCCATTAGGGGTGTCCTCTCCGAGGCCTGCAGATGATGCTGTCTTCTATCCACTTGGAAGGATACATTTTGCCTTTAAAATATTCAGAAATCATGGTATTTAAATTAAAGTAAAATGATGCGTATATGATCCACATTCATCATTTTACAAGGAAATGACATCAATGAATTGTGACCAAATGAAATTGATCCAGCTTGAAATATACCAATACAAAGAACCAAATTTTAAAAAATTCATTTACGTTTACCCGAGGTATGTTTGGGGTCATTTCAGAAATATAAGCATAATATATATTGTTAATGCTAAATAAAAAATATGTATAAAATTAAGTATTAGTCCATAAACGAACATTTACATGCATAAAGGATTTCATAGAGTACCAGTACATTTCTCCCATGTGCAAATTTCCAAGTTTACAGTGTGTGCTTCATGTTACATAATAGGTTATTAGAGTTAAGATATTATGGTATTGGATTAATCATTTCATTAAAATCAGATTGCACAGTGCTTCCAACTTGAATTTTAGCAAACTTTACACACAGCATCATAAATGGAAGAAAACCATAAGGCAAAAACTTAGATGACTTACAGAAAATTCAAAAAAAAAAAATAGTGATAGTTTTTTAATTATTTGCTGGATAGCTTAATAGGGTATACAATTAGGTCTATATCGAGGGTCATATTATGTTTGAATCTAGGTCATGAAGATACACAAGTACATGTATACACAACACTATGTACAATCTAGATACAGCATATATAAACTTTTTAGTTTACCTGTAAAATTTAATGCCACTCTTGAGTATTAAACCTTGTGACCTAGATTCAAACATAATGTGATACCTGTCAGACAAAAATGTACACCCTATACTCAGCTATCCAACAATCAATTGAAAATACTACCCCTATTATGTAATTCACTCTCATGGGTTGTCATTGCAAAATAAGTTTTTATACTTTTACATTTTTAGATTTTAAAAGATTTTATCAAAATAATCCAGAATAAAAAAAATTTAATTGAATGATTGAGATTCAGAATCATTGCAAAAGCAACTGATAGTAAGGTTTTACAATCTAGAAATTGCAGCAGTGTATTCTATTAGCAACTCATATAATTGTTAACTGAAATCAGAAAGGATAAACAGATTGTTTTTTTCTAATCACAAAAAAACATAGAAAAACCATCACCCTTCACTGAAATATATAGAGAAGAGAGAAAAATAAATTCTACAATGTGTAGAAATACATGCAATTCAATAAAAAAAAAGATATACATTTACTAAAAATTTAATAAAGTATAGGCTAGTATAAGCCAGAAATCCTGACATCACACCATTAGTATCTACATGTTTTTCATAACCATTAATATAATGAATATTGAAAAAAAAAAACATCAATTTTTACCGCCCATTGGATGATCTTGGAATTTTTCTAAATCAAAAAGTAAAATTATAAGATCCTTAAGAAAATTCATGCTGCCATCATTAAAAAAATTTGATGTACTAACAACCCATCATTTTGAGGGCTGATCATATTGTAGGTTAATTTTTTCTTCCATATTTCAGTCCTGACTAACAAGTATGAACATATATTTATATAAAAACTTGCAAATGTATATGTCAGAAAATATGAAATTGTACTGGGTTTATCTGTAAATTAGAAATCAATTTATCACTTATTAATAATTTTTTTATCAAGAATATACATGTGAAGATTTTTTTTTTAAATTTAAAATAATCAACAGTAAACTTTGTCTAAAAAATCAATCAAGGGGCTATAATTTCAGAACGTTAGTTGAAACTCTTAAAACACACATGAAACAAACCATTATGCTGGTCTTGATAATTTTATCATTGATCTTTATTATAAAATCTTGAAAACATTCCAAAAAATACATTGAAGACAAACATTTGTCTAGAGTGTCTTCTTCAAAACATTTCTCTACTTTTCAAAAAGGATATAACAATATGAACAATCCTATCACTCACTCAATTTTCTTATGTTTTGCCACTTCTTTTTCCCATTGCTCAGCAAACTGTGGTACAACTCTGTCACTAGCATCTCGAGGATTTAGGTCAAAAAGGTCATCTTCTGTCAAATCCTTCTTATAGGCTGTTACCACCAAACTAAACATAGAAAACACGGACAATTTTACTTTCCAATCTTTGTCCCTGTTTAAGGATACACCAAAGGTTTCCAAATGCCAGAATTTAATTTGCATGTAATTCTTTCATTATCAAAGGTAACATAATAAAAGTATATATCATTTGAAAGCTTGTTAAATTTACTATTTAATTATCCCAATTTTAACTTTAATTAATAACTTATTTAAAAATTATTTAAATATTAATGTAAATTTTAGTGCATAAATATTTTATAAATCAACTTTTTTGTATTTAACCCCTCAAAGTGGTCATTTTGCCTCAAGGTAGATTTAAGATTGAACTTCAAAACTGTATCTCAGATTTTTGATAAATCTTCTAATTCAAAAGTTACAGCAATCTGCACTTCAATGTTACCAATTTATTGGCCTAATTTATTATTTCCCTCAATAATTCCAAAACTAAGCTAGATATAAAAAATCTGAGATACGGTTTTGTGAACACACATATGAGAAGCAACCCATCCATATTTTCAGAGAAGATGGTCAATAAATAAGGTAGCTGAATCCTTTGAAATAATACCACAAACTGTCTGATCTTACTTTACAGTAGAGGGCAAAAACCCATTACACAACAAAATCTGCCAAAGATAGAAATATATGACACCTTGGAGATTCAGCTTTGGATACCTGTCACTTAGCCATATTTCCTATGCATATTCACAAGAATGGGAGGTTCAATACTGTATTTAGATGCTTTTATTTAAATAAAATAGGTTCAATTCTGAATCAGAAAGATTTCCCAGCAAAATGGCAAGAGCTAAGCTCCACCTCCTATTTTATGGTCATCAGTGATCTGTTAGATCTCCTTCTCTAAATCTAGAGTCCCTGTAGTTTAATAACCTCTGTGTGGCTAGTGAAGAATTCCCCAAGTGGTCACAGTGATTTATTGCTTCTTTCATCAGCAGGCAGTCACAGATCAAATCAGAAGCTTCAATAACGGAACATGGTAGTGTTTATGTTTAATTATTGTTCAATAATTAGAAAACCATTTCATAATTAACAAGAATTTTACATGCATTATGAAGCAGTGATTAACTTCTTTTTCTTAGCCAAAAATCTCAAAATTGTTGAAAATCTTGAAAAAAGCCTTTGGTGTATCCTTAATACATTTCTGTAATTTTCAAGGTCATTCTCTCATACATAAAAATAGGAACAAGGCTTTCTATTAGCCTCACACCACCATGATACAATTTTCATTAACTATCTTCTATACAAAGAATATGATGTGACCAATATAACTATTGCTACTTTAGCATTTCAAACTATTTAAGGCTGAGGAAATACAGTCCCCACTGGTTTAAATTTTCTCTGTACATGTATCTCCATAAAAAAGTCAATTACTTAAATGTACACAACCTACACATACATGTATTAGCAATGTACATATACCGGTAAATGTATTTCAATTCTAAAAGTTCTTAAGGGTATGAGCTAAGAATTTTCACAAAAACACATTTTAAAAAGTACTCAAGTATTTTATGAAAAATGCCTATAAAGTTTCAGTTCATAATCTTATGAATGTTAAAACTGAGACACAATTCTTAAATTCAAGTATTGTAGATACATGTAAAATATATATTTAAAGATATTTTGTGTTTTGTGATGTCTTAAACACAATTGCTGACATAAAACAATGAATATCACCTATTAAAATGAATGAAGTTGAAGAAATGCTCAAAAGACCTGCTTATATTTTAAGCACACACACATACCTATTTATCCACCAATAAGTCAGTCTACTTAAGATTGAAGCCTTGATTTCAGGACAGGGATTCTATGAGGGAAAAAATGATCACTAATAGCAAAAAGAAACCAAATCAGTTAACAATTTGGAAATGACAACATACTGGTTAGTAGTTACAGTAAAACTCATTTAGTGTAAACACGTATCTAGTGATTTTACAGATATAGCAACGGGTTTTTTTTTTATCCCCGGCAAAATTCTTGAGAATTCCTTGTAAAATTTTATGGATGCAACAAGCTCTGATATACCAATCTACAAGATTACAAAAGTTAAGGAATGAACTGACAATATTTTTCTTAAGTATTCATATTTGACATTCGTCAGAAAACTTTAGTAATCCAAGGCAAGTTTTGTATTTATAGTTCTTTCAAATATTCTCGGGGATCAGTGGTCATGCATACTTGAAGGAAACATGTATACTCCAACTTCGCTATATAGTCTTTAACAAATTTGTTATACAATATAACGAAGTAAATTTACAGGTCTCCAGGACTTCACTTTAAATGTGTTTTACTGTATAACAGGATGACTTCTATTCAAAACAAAACTTTTTGAAATAATGTATTTACAAAAAATATTCTAATTTGCTGAAAATGATGGATTTTGTTGCAGGTGATGCAATTTCAGATTCTTTCCTTCTTTTTTAAAATTTATTTGTGAATATTTACAATCCCAATTATCAATTATAGTTTTGCTTCCATAAAGCAATGCTCCTCACAGAGTCAGAAGGTCCATTTTTTTTAATCTTTCCTATTTTCAGATTGTGAAACCCTGTCATGAACAACAACTATTGACACAGATGAATTTTGCCTTACTCTGCCCAATTCATAATAGCCTCTTCTTGACACCTTCTCGGCAATACAATGGAAAACTAGCTGAAGGAACAGCAGACCCCAGGAAATGTAAAACAAGACAAACTTCTCTAGGTCAGTATTGTACACCTAGGAAAATAAAGATTAAAGACATGCATAAAAAATGACAATCCACTTTTTTATACATATCTAAGTCATATAAAACTTTTTTGTTTGATTTCCTTAAGATTCATTACACAAAATTCAAAATGAGAATCTAGAGAAAAGGAATTGCAAGTACTGGCATATGTGTAATTAATCAAACTTTCAAGTCATTAACCTTTGACTTCATATACAGTCTTGCAAACACATATCTGTATAACATTTTTATTTCTAAAACTGTACCTACCACTTTTTTTTATTTACATTCTAAAATTAAGCTAAACTGCAAATCTAGATCAATATTTATGCCAACCTTCTCTTCTATATAGGTATAAAATGGTACAATTCCTGCCACTGTGCTCAGCAGAAAAAACACAAAGAGGACACCTGATGTGATGTACCCCTGTGCTCTTTCCATTTGTATAAGTACTGCTGACAGCATCTGAAAACGTGTGGAAAAATTATTCAACTGGGAACTGTTAAGTTAAATGCAAAAAATACAACCCACATAAAATTTGGGCTTTGAGCAAATGTGTAAGTAATTATTTAACACATGTATTTCAACATTTATTGCCAAGGTTATGATTGAAGAGAAGGAAATAAAATGAAAAATAAACTTCTTATTGAAATTTGATGTAAGGGTTATAAAAATTTGTGTAACATGAGCACTAAGAAAATGATCAAACCATATTCCCTAACCAAGTGCATATTTGTAAAGTGAAAACACTTACATATGAAGCAAATTCAATTCCCAGTGCAACAAACACTGCTGTTGGAACATGGTTAGATTCATTATCACTTGTTGCTTTGATGAGATCCACAACACTAAGAAATGCTAGAATCAAACTTAAAAACTGGAAAAAAAATTAATATGATTAAATTTGATACTGTGGAGTGAAACATTACTACCTTTAAATACATTTACAATTGAACTTCAGTTTCTTGAACATTGAGATATTCAATGAATTAGTCAAGTGAGTTGGCAGTCCGATTTGTAACAATTAACCTTCCATTCTCAACTTCAAATTCTGAGTCCTAGGATATCCCTTTTTTTTTGACAGTCTTGACATGTCATACAGTACAGGCAACGCGGATCCCGTATTTCCCGCGCCCCGTCGCGGTATAAACACAACATGGGATTTGGCCAGGTGAGACAGGTTAACCGCGTTCCCTCCACGGGAAATTCATCACCTACGTGTCCCCGCCGCGGTTAAATCATCGATCAACTAGTATCGTAAACAAACGGGAGTTATCTCCCCGAACGAAAATTTGCGAAATTTCCCTGTAGTAACAAAAAATAACTACAGAGTATGTTTATTTATGAAAGTATTTTCTTTTGTTTTGCAACAATGAATAGAAAATAATAAACATACTCCAAAAAAGAATTTGTAAAGCAGAAGATATAAATTTTTTTTAGATTTGTATAAAACTATATGCATATATTAATACTAAGGTGACATCTTTCATTTAATTAGAATTATAAGCTGTGTTATTTGAGAGTTTAGCATGAAACAAAATTAAATGTTGGGTTCATTAGTTCTAGAAAGTCTTTTCAAATTATATGTGAATTGCAAAAATGATGTACACGTGCTAAACAATAACAAGCATTCTGAGAGTATTGCATTAGCAATACTAGTCCCCTACCGGCAAGTGTAATGTGGTTCCCGTTAAGAATTGAAAATGCCATAATTCCGTCAAAATTTAATGAAGCGGGACGAAATGCAAACTTGTTCTATAACTAATCAAGGTAAAGCCACATACCAAAAATCAGCTCAATATCTACAAGCGTTTAGAAGAAAATTGCGGAAAACCCGTAAAAATTGAAAAGGCCGTAATTCCGTCAAAAATCAATGAAGCGGAACGAAATGCAAACTTGATCTGTAACTCATCAAGATACACTCACATACCAAAAATCAGCTCAATATCTGCAAGTGTTTAGGAAAAAAGTGCGGAAAACCAAGTGGGACAGACTGACAGACAGACAGAGGGACAGACAGACAGACGGACGGACAGACGGACGGACAGACTCAGAGGAAACCTATAGTCCCCTCCGGTTTCACCGGTAGGGGACTAATAAGTGCGAGTTCCGATTAACAATTTTCAACATTCCTATGAAATTAAAAAGGCACATCTTTATATTGTTTATGTTTTTGTATTTTTACCAAATTTAGAACACTATAATTCATTAAATTAATTTCTCTTTATTGTATAAATGTGCAAGCATTTTTCTGAAAATGTCAAATTACTGGAAAGATGCAATATTCGAAGTCGAGAGTTTGCAGTTAGTGGGCACGTGAACGGTATGCAAGCTATCAATAAAAAAATTTCCTTTCTTCACCTTGATATTTATTAGTCCCCTACCCGTGAAACCGGCGGGGACTATAGGTTTCCTCTGAGTCTGTCCATCTGTCTGTCTGTCCCTCTGTCTGTCTGTCAGTCTGTCCCACTTGGTTTTCCGCACTTTTTTCCTAAACGCTTGCAGATATTGAGCTGATTTTTGGTATGTGAGAGTATCTTGATGAGTTACAGATCAAGTTTGCATTTCGTTCCGCTTCATTGATTTTTTATGGAATTATGGCATTTTCAATTTTTACGGGTTTTCCGCAATTTTCTTCTATACGCTTGTAGATATTGAGCTGATTTTTGGTATGTGGCTTTACCTTGATTAGTTATAGAACAAGTTTGCATTTCGTCCCGCTTCATTAATTTTTGACAGAATTATGGCATTTTCAATTCTTAACGGGAACCAGATTACACTTGCCGGTAGGGGACTAGTATTGCTGATGCAATACTCTCAGAATGCTTGTTTCTTTGGTAAACGATGATTTTTTTTAATTTAATTATTTCTCCATTTACATGTTCAATGAAATAACATAGGATGTGTATGCATGGTGATGAACTCCAGAGAACAAATAAAAAGAAGGGAGATATTACACTCACAACACTTTTATTTTCAATAATATTCAAGGAAAAAATCAAATGCTAATGTATACTTTAACAAATTTTGTTTCTTTGTGTATTAAGTATTAGTCGCGATCATTTCCTGTGTATAGGGATTAGCAGACCAAGGAGGAAACGGCATGCCCTGGGGGTTTCACACCTGTGAGTGTCCTAGGGTACCTAGGGTAAATCTCTCCGAATGCGCACATCAACATACCAGTCCATTCAATGTTTCATTATTTCTTTATTTTCAAATGAGATTACAACCAAGAAATTTGAGACAATATATTCACAGTTGCTTTTTTTTTACCCTAACTGTGTTTTTATTAAAAATCAAACTTTTTAAACAAATTAATAGAGTTGAATAAAATAAAATAAATCAAAACAAATTATGTTTTATAAGTACATGTATTTTGTTTACGTCTCTGTTTATACGTTTATACATGTACCTGTACATATAAGTAGAATTTCAACAAAAAGGAAGAAAGAGAAAGAGAGAGAGGGAGAGAAACGTACAGAAAGGTATGATTGATTTATCGATTTATAATTATAATTTAAATGAAATTGCTTGTGAATCAAATTTTGTTCAGTTTCAAAATAGTCGTTTCTGTAAACAAATAGGTATTACTGTAGCTGATTTATCGGTTAATTGACCAGTAAACACTTTGTCTAATTCTGCCAGTTAATGAAGAACACGGGAACAGTTATAGCCACAGACACTAATTTAACTAAACTTACTGCTTGATAAGATTGATTCTTATCTACAAGATCACCAACATTTCTTCATGATGTAAGATTACGCAATCTGAAGGTATTACAGGTATCTCGTAAGGGTATAGGCTAGTTACACAGACATCTGAAAACTTGTAGCTTATTGCTGATTATAATAAGTTCATTTACTGTGCTGAATGTTCAAATTATTTTTAGCCTCATATAAACAGCTTATAAAAGAGCCGTCCTTTCTGATTTGACGTTACATGTACATGTATATACGTGAAATTTGTTGAAGGGCATGATTATATTAATTTCAAAAAGAAAGGAAATAGAAATACAGTCAAATACTACCTATGAAATTATTCTGAATAGAATGTAATGATTTTATTTACAACAATAACCAAAAAAAAAAAGAAAAGAAAAGAAAGAAAGAAAAAAAAAAGATAATGTTGATATTTCTTCTGTTTAGCGCATATTTGTCAGAAGTTAATGGTGCAACATATTCCTAAATGTACATGTGTTTATTCTTTAATATTATACTGTTACCATCTCTATCTAGCATTGTTTTTCATGCTTATACTTATAACAGATATGTATACAGAGGCATTTTTTCTTCAAGAAACCAATGACTGTGATAGAATCTCACAGAAAAATAAACGCATAGCTACATGTACCCAAGAACACAACTCCACTGGCACTGGCTAATCGTGAACACTGTATTTAATGCATTTTAAAAGAAATGATATGGCATTTTTTAAAAATCTAATGCTTCTATTTTACTGTGGATTATTTAGCAATTTCATGATCATTTATGGTAGAATTATTGATTTTAAAAAATATATACAATATTTCAGTTGACGGGATATTCCATCAAATTTTACCACATGTACTGGCATTATACGCTCCTTTTTTTAATTTGAGAATTAATTAATTTTGAATGACTATTAAAAAAAAAGATAGATAAAAAATAATTATTATACAATTTGATAATACTTAAAAATTGAATTAAAAATTCATTTAATTAATGCAGGCTGTAACCTTTAATGGCTTACACCCCCCTTTTTTGAACGCTATTAAAAATCGACAACACTGTACAGGTAACTGGCCCCGCCGCGGTGTACACACGCGGTCTGATACAGGATCCGCGTTGCCTGTTCTGTATATATATTGAGATTTGACAGTACTGTAAATTCCTTATTTTACGCGAGTACTTAATATCGCGAAATGACACAAGGGCGTCAAATCGCGAGAATAATAATTAGCGAATGGGTGAGTTATCTAGTGATTTTACATACATTAAAGCACCATAAAAATAAAAGCGAGTAATTTTATTTCGCGAGCAGGGCTTCTCGCGTAATTACGCGATAATTTATTCCTCACGTACATTTAGGAATCTACATAATATATATATGAGGGTTGTCCTAAAATTCCGTAAACTGAACTCATATCTATTGCAAAAATCAATGTATCTTTATATAATTTTGTGGGTGTATAAAGTATGTTTTAAGCTGACATATTACAAAGTTTTAACATGACTACTTGAAAAACGTATGAGTAATTAGAATTTTAATGCTACCGTGTCCTACCACCCAGCACAATCTCCAACGTCAAAATATTCGTAAACGGTATGGATTTTGGGGTGAAATGCACTTATCAGAGTTATAAATAAGAAATATCATAATTATTATGATATATTTAACATTAAAATATACAAAAAAATGTTTAAATTATATGCATCCATTAATATTTCATGAAAATCTCCTGTATCTCTGAGGGATTTTTTTGTCCATCTTTCCAAATGGAATTGCACTGTGTTGCTTTGACAATGATTCCTTTGTTTATTTCTTTCAGCTGGTCTACATCTTCCTTCTTTTTTCACATATAAGTTAAGGATACACCAAAGGTTTCCAAATGCCAGAATTTAATTTGAATGTAATTCTTTCATTATCAAAGATAACATAGTAAAAGTATATATCATTTTGAAAGCTTGTTAAATTTACTATTTAATTATCCTAATTTAAACTTTATTAATAATTATTAATAACTTATTTAAAAATTATCTAAATAATAATGTAAATTTTAGTGCATGAATATTTTATAAATCAACTTTTTTGTATTAAACCCCTCAAAGTGGTCATTTTGCCTCAAGGTAGATTAAAGATTGAACTTAAAAACTTTAATTCAGATTTTTGATAAATCTTCTAATTGAAAAGTTACAGCCATTTACACTTCAATGTTACCAATTTATTAGCCTGATTTAGCATTTCCCTCAATAATTCCAAAACTAAGCTAGATATCAAAAATCTGAGATACGGTTTTGTGAACACACCTATGAGAAGCAACCCATCCATATTTTCAGAGAAGATGGTCAATAAATAAGGAAGCTGAATCCTTTGAAATAATACCACAAACTGTCTGATCTTACTTTACATTAGAGGGCAAAAAGCTATAACACAATAAAATCTGTCAAAGCTAGGAATAATTAATATATAACACCTTGGAGATTCGGCTTTAGATACCTGTCACTTAGCCATATTTCCTATGCATATTCACAAGAATGGGAGGCTTTTTTCTGTATTTAGATGCTTTTAATTAAGTAAAATAGGTTAAATTCTGAATCAGAAAGATTTCCCAGCAAAATGGCAAGAGCTAAGCTCCACCTCCTATTTTACGGTCAACAGTGATCTGTTAGATCTAGAGTCCCTGTAGTTTAATTACTGATAACCTCTGTGTGGCTAGTGAAGAATTCCCCAAGTGGCCACAGTGATTTATTCATTTATTTCATGAGCAGGCAGTCACAGATCAAATCAGAAGCTTCAATAACAGAACATTCACATGTGGTAGTGTTTATGTTTCATTATTGTTAAATAATTAGAAAACCATTTTATAATTACCAAGAATTTTAAATGCATTATAAAGCAGTGATTAACTTCTTTTTCTTAAGCCAAAAATCTCAAAACTGTTGAAAATCTTGAAAAAAGCCTTTGGTGTATCCTTAAAAACGTACTGCTTACGTCATTCAAACACTACCAACTTGAATATGTCTATGTGTTCCTTACATTTGTGTCTTTGAATGCGTCTCTGTTTGGGTGAATGCAATTTCCGAACTACATTTTTTTCATATTCCAGTGTGCTGAATGTGTCCATGCAGCGTCATTTTTTAAAAACTCAAATGTCAAACCAGTGCAAATAAACGTTATAAAATTCTTATTAATGAAGGGATATGCGATAAAACTGGAATGAAGGTAGTCATTTATTTCATTTGAGAAACCAACATTTTAATCCCACGAAATTTTGACTAAAAATTACTTTTTTGCAAGATTTTCAATTTCATATACCGATTCTTAATAGCAAATTTTGGGATTGTGCCATCTCTTTACACTAAACATTTTATTATTTCATTTAAATAGGTAAAATCTGTGTATTTACAAAATGTTTTACACTAAAAATATTATTTTTATATGGTAATTTTATTTATTTTTAAAGTTTTATGAATTTATGACACTGGTTTACTACAAAACGACACTAGTCTACGGAATTTTTGGACAACCCTCATATATGTCTGGCATGTTTTGTTTTGTTTTTTTTAACACTTCAACAGCTATAATTAAATAGCAAAGAAATTTAAAAACAATGAAATTTTCAAGCAATAAGAAATGCTATCTTACACTTTTGGAGACATTTAGCCAAGTGAGTGGCATTGGAGTGACATCCTCCCTTGATGACAGTAATGCTGGGAGATAAAATGGGAGGGTAATCCACAGAAAACCACATGGCACCCATATTAACAGGGTATTCTGAAAGCAGTCTGTGAAATGGGGATAGGAGTTGTTCAACAACAAATTTTCATCCTAAAATGAAGAAAAAAATTCATAACAATTGTATAACCAATCTCAACAAAAAGAATCTGTTGAATTCTCAATGAATTTGTATAGGAATGGATTCTCTATGAATTTGTATAGGAAACTTAGTACTCTAGTAGGCCCTCAAGTTCAAACACTATTCAAACTAAACACAATGTTTGCCATTAATCAAATATTCTGTAATTCAACATATAATATAAATGACACATTTTTAAATGTATGCTCAAGTTCTTAAGTTTGCTTTCAAGGCTTTTAAATTTTTAATGTGAATTAATTTCTTTACTAACCCATATAGTTCCATTGCAAAATTCCTGAAATCCCATGGCTGCATGCAGACTGCAAGAACTACACCATGTACACAGTCTACGTTTTCAAACCATTTCTCGCACCTTTTTCAGTGCTAGTAGTGAGAAAAAAGGAATCAGTCTCTCTTTAACACATATATGCTCTAGATTTTAACTCCATAGAAAAGTAAATGGATGATTCATTCATTCTTTGGTTCTGGAAAATGACCTTTCATTTTATAATCTGATAAAGACGACAAGCATGGCGAATATACTTTGATCATGTTGATTTGAGTATATCTCTTTTAAATTGTTGCAAGAAGCATGTTTCTGTTACTGTAATGTTTGCACTTACCGCTACACCTCTTGTCGTTCCAATCCGCGTCCGTTTGTTTTACGATTACAGTTTACGTCGGCTGCGTTGTACACGAAAGGTTAAAACTGAAAATTGTAGATCGATCCCGATTCAAATTTTGCGAAAAGTAATATAGGGAACAAGTTTCCAGAAAGCCTGAAATGTCATCTCTTTGGCTTCATGAATATCATAGAATAAACAGTGGAATGTTACATTATTTTCTCAGCTATTACAGACAGTAGAATCGCTTTTAAAAAAATGGGGGGGGGGGGGCAGAAAAAAAAATCGACGACTTATCTGAACAATCTTTGACAAGGGGGAAAAGGGGCTCAAACTCAACATTTTCATTTCTTGGAAGGGGGGATTACAACTTTTCCAACAAACTTATTTTATATTATAATACAATCCCATGGGATGATTTGACGTACCATACTGCAACAAAAGATGGGAGATGGGGCAAGGGCGCGCCTTTCAATGAATATTTTCAATGTTTGGGCAAAAAGTGGAAGGGGGCGACGCTCCTGATGCTACGTGCCTGTTAATTTTACGTGTTGTAAATATGCTTTATTCATTTTAAATATTTTTTGTACAATGTCTGTAAAAAAAATCTAACCACTGAGAAATATTCGTAAAAATTAGATAATTATTCCGAGCAATGTACTGAGAATATCAACTGAACAAGGGAAAAATTGAGACACTCCTGCACCATACCCTTCTGCTGCCCATGCATATTCATGTTTTAACGCTATATTATGTTATTATGACATTTATTCCAATACCTGCAGCATTGAGTTACTTAAATCAGAGACATTTATGTTTCTGCTTAAATTGTGCACTTACAATATTTTTTTTTCTTCGAAATTTATTTTTTTTAATAAGTTCTGATTTATTTTACATATTTACGGCAGTAATTATCGATTGACTATTGAGTACACCTAAAAGTTAAGTTTTTGTCATTGTATATATGCATTTAACCTGAATGTTTCCATTGTTTTCTTTCGTCAGTAAACCTTGGATCCACGCCTTGGCTGATACTATTCAATATGCCATGTTTTGTGTATTTTGATCCCCGTGCGCCGACCATCGTTTTACGCATAGGCACTCCCCAGCTTAATTGTTAAAAAATATATATCTACTATACTATCTATCTATACTTATAAATTAATAAATTTTGCAAATAAACTCCGAAACGGGTGCACCAGAGTTCTTACTTACTCCTCTAACAATACACTATATACAAGATGATGTCCGTAAACTATATTTAGATTTCACTCGCATATTAAGTGTCGCACATTAAATAAAAAGTCTACTTTTATTTTCTATAAACAGCCATGAAATAGCAAAAACGTGAGTACGGTGGCGTTTCCGGTTGGCGGATCTAAGTTACTGGCAGTTTTTAATGAAACTGACAACAAGCAATCGTTTATTTATTTCATAAAACGTCATCACTTTATTATTCTATCAAAACTTGATTTCAATGATATAAAAAAAATAAGTTGTGATAACCGATTAAAAAGGGAAATGTGCAAATTATTTTCGTCATTCACCGATCTTAATATTGACGGAAGCTTCTAGAACATCATATAGCATCGAGCCCGATGTTAAAAAGAAAAACGAGGCGATTGTAGCTGCATGAACATAAAAAAAAGCTTTTGTGTGAATGGTCATTGAAATAATGGTAAATCATTGATAACACTATAAGTTGTGAATATATTTATATATCGAAAGACTATTACATATATGTAGTAGGTTTTTCTAATAAATTTATCGGTAAAATTCTTAAATTTATCGGTAAAATTTGTATTTTCCTTACTGAGAGCATCGTGGCAACGAACCCGAAGTACAATTTGTACTTCGTAATAAACTTGCTTACATGAAAAGAGAAAATTAATGAATAATGTAAGGTATTGTTCAAATATAAATAACGCTGTAAAATTTTGTGCTTTAATCAATACATTTCAGTTTTTTTTTTCCTGAATACAGTCTTTTGTATCAAATACTCGGCCCATTCATAGGGCGTTAAACAGCTAATTTTTACACAGGTACTCGGGTTTTGGTATATAAATATGTATGTACCGGGTAACTTATTGATAAGTACCTGTGAACACCCCCCCCCCAAAAAAAAATAATCAATTTATCAATAAAATGTGCATATTCACTACTTTTATCCTTGGCGGAAATGAAATAAGAGCATCTGAAGTACAATATCCATAACATTGTATAACAGGTTTCACAATACATGTCAATTAAATGATATTGTTATTTTTCAAGATTTTACAAAAAGGGAGTGGGATGGGGATGGGAGTGGAGACGTACATTTACTTCCTGTGGGATTTTGAACAAAGTATTCCTTCTATAAGCCTGTAGGTCGCCAGTAGAAACTACAATATATTTTCTGTCGGTAGTGGTTTAAATTCAATTCCCCGCGCTTGCGCTGGATTTCATCTAGTAGATATATATTTTTTAACAATTAAGCCGGGGAGTGCCTATGGTTTTACGCAATAGCCTAGATACAATAATGTGAAGACACACCACCACCCAAGTGATCCTACCTCTATTATCCTTAATGAACCCTGTGTAGTTTTACTTTAAGATGGACCATTTTGTAATAGTAAGACAGAACGCTCAATTTTATTTACATCTCTATATTTAGAAATCGTGTCATCGTCAGGTCATTTGTCAGACCAACCTATTCGTCCTACAGCTTACACTCTAAGGCCATTCCAAGTTTTTTCTCTGTTTAACGTCCACCCATCTTTCAAAAACCAACCTACCTATTCACAAAAACACACAAACCAACAAAATAAAACACAGACTTTATAGTCATTAAAATGACGTCACTCAAAGGATTTGATTTCATTAATCTGTTTTTCTCGTAGAAAAAAACCATTTTCAGCAAAATCAAGGTATTCAATTTTTACTATATTCCTAATATATTATATTGTTGACAAATATTTTGAGAAATTGACAGAATTCAGCGATTTTGACCAAAATATTCAATTTGAGGACTCATGATTTTGTTTGTTTTTTGTGATATGGGGTGTCACCAAGGCGCACGCGGACGCTAAACATAAAAAAATTTGGAATGGCCTTATGTGTCATGTCTTCTCATTTGTTATCTGCGACCGTTGATGCTGATTTAACGGTCGCAAACTGGGTTTTACCGGCGACGTTGCGTGCGGGTATTAAAGCTATATATGGCGTATCTGAGCTAAAAAAAAAAAATAAAAATAATAAAAATACGAGATTGAGTGTAGATGAAAATGATATTTGTTACTTACGTTCAAATCAAAATTTTCACCGATTTTTTAACTTGAATAATCCCATGTTTCTATAGTTAATTGACTTTAAACTGTGTCTGATATTTAAATGCGGAGTCGGTAAATAAATCGGTTATTGTTTTAAATTTCTAATATCTATGAAACGCGATTGATTTAAATTGTGTAATTTACAGGAAAGTCCTATCTTTATATAAAGTAATAAAACAAACAGAAAGATCTTTTTAATTTTAGTTAGTCTGAACTTATAAAAAATACGCCATATATGACTTTAATGTCTTATGACAACATATTTAGTTTGTACTTGTATTTGGATGTACACATGTACATACGATGTCTATACCAAATTCACCAAACACCATACAGTCGGGAATAGATTGTGATGAGCAAAATTTAACATGTACTCTGTCTACAATTGCATTGTTAAAAAAAAAAAAACATGCCACACATCCATACAACAATTAATATAGACTGAACAATTTTATCACAAAAGTCTAATTGACACCATATTGATAGGTTATGTAATTAGTCTTAAGAATTTCAGATTTTTTGTTTGTTTGTTTGTTTGTTTGTTTTTTTTTTTTTGTTTTTTTGTTTGTTTGTTTTGTTTTGTTTGTTTGTTTGTTTGTTTTTTGTTTGTTTGTTTTTTTTTTGGGGGGGGGGTTGGGGGGGCTTTTTGTTTTGTTTTATTTTGTTTTGAATTTTTCTTTTGCTTTCCCAAACTAATGATAATTTTTTAATTCCAATTTCTACAATATTTTTCAAAGCAATAAATTTTAACTTGTAAGTGTTGAGCAATCAATACTGTGTCATAGCCAAATAAAAGTGCAAATAATTTGAAATATACAATTAAATGTTGTTCACACCTCTGTGTGGTGTTTCTTTGGATCCAATCAATGACCATAAGGAAGCAAATTGGTGATAATATGCATCCTTGCCTTACTCCAGATTTTCCACTGAATGAGTCTGATATTCCATTTTCCAGGATGACACTACATTCGAAGTTTTAGTAAAATGTTTTCATGACATACTTGACATATAGCGCTGGTAAAAAGTTTTGTACTTCTTTTGAATATGTTAAAAATAAAAAAAAAGATGACAGATTTTTCTCCCTATCTGACGCCATTTTTGCAGTTAAAAAATCAGAAACCTCATTATCATAAATTATTCTGTACTTGATTTGATTATACATATTTGTAATAACATTGTACATTTCCCCATTATTATTGTTTGAAAACAGGGTAGGGATCAGATGACATGGAGGAGTAAGCATTCCCCGTCGACTGGTCACACATGATGTGTCCCTTGTCTCATATATAAAGACAACTTTTGTACAAAATGATGTTAATGTAATTTCCCTCTTATTTTAAATATGCACTCGTACGTCTCCATATACGTATTTTTTATTTTATTTAATTATTACAATTTTATCCAACTTTTTAATAATGATAATAATAATAATTATGACGACAACAACAATTATTATTGTTACTGCT